TCTGTAGACCCTTACAATTTGCACTACTGAGGATTCCCAGGGAGAATGAAACACCTGTAGTGTTTTTCTGCTTTTGGACACAGGCTGACTTCAATCACGGAACAAAATCTCGATTGAATAATTCCAAAATCCCTTCAGGCTGTTTGTTACCAGCATGGAAGAAACATCCACCAGTGACGGGCACTGTAATGTGACAGACAACGAATAAATGAGCTGAGTAAACTGACGACCATCTTCTCGAAGGCAGTGAGTAGGTGGACGAAGTTCAATGGTGGCATAAAAGCGTTTGAATTTGCTTAGATTCCTAACCAACACGATTTGTGACTGCCTTTACCAAACTACAGTCAATTAAGTGGGATATGAACAACGGAATCGACGGAATCGGCTGACACAGCAAGGGATGAGTCTGCATAGACATGAAAAGATCGAACGATGGAATCAATCTCTCACTATGCAACAGCGTGTTGGAAATATGGTTACCGAGCAAGACTCCAACCAAATACAGAAGTCTAGGATGGATCAATGAAGTGAGTGCGACTGAGCTGTGCTTTACAGTGGGAAAAGAAGGACGGAAAAGAAGGAAGAAGGAGGTACTCGTCTGAACACAGTAACAAAATGATCTGACTAGGGGAAACAGTTTCAGTAATACTGAATAGCCGTAGCGCTCACCCGTTCATCAATTAAGCTTAGCAACGCTAACCTGGCGTTGCTAACTCCAGAAGTGCACCTCTATCCGCTGCTAATCAATGTCAAAAAACTGTCGGTTCCTCAAAACGAACCACTTGAGACAATCTTTGTCACGAACTTCTACTTTGTTAAAAGGTAACCCAGGTGCTAGCGGTATCTGCAGATTAGACTTCCGTATGTTTCCTCACTGTGGTCACGGCAGACGGTGGATCCGGACTTTTCAAACCAACCTCTAGTAAGACAATATATAAACGTTTCCTTGAGTACGACGGCCTCGATAAAATGACTAGACTTGCCTGCTCTAGTCCTGTTCAAATGGACACTTACTCTGGAGCCATCAAATCAGAATTCTTTTGGATATAACTAAAGCCCGAAGAATACACTGTCCGAATAAATCCCACAAAACTGTTAGAGAGAAGCGGGAAAAAAAACAGGAAAAGAGTACCAATGAAGATGGAACCAAAACAGCCATCGTAGAAAATGCAGACAGACGTCAAAATTTTCAGGAAGGCTAAGTGACCCAAAAAGAAGCAGAAAACAAATAGGCTACTAAGAAACACTTTGCTGTGCGTGCGACGTAAAACTATTGACGACGGTTGTATTTTCTGTAGAGTAGACTCCCCCGGAGCTAACAGTGTTTAGATTTCCCGATAAGCATACTCGTCAGGGGATCAAGCTCGAACAATGACCTCTTAACAAACGAAGAACAACTTACCTTGATTGGGGACTTCCTTGTCAAATGGGAGATTTGGAAATTCATTGCTATGTCTTCACAGTTCCTCCTATCGTCAACGAACTGTCGAATTTCGGACGGCATATCCCATGTGTAGGTGTATAGATAGTACTGGAATACAGTAAAGGGTAGATAATGAACGGGTATGAGTTTTACCGCACCAAAAATGAATAGGTAGTGTACGATGGGATTGTTTCTCGTATTGAGGTGAGCGGTTAGAATACAAAGTTATGTGATACGCAGACCAATAAACTTTCTTTCCGGTAGATTCACTAGTAACATGGAATAAAACAGGTGTTCTCTTGGAGAAACATAGTGGCAACATCATGGATTGTAAACGTGTTAGGTCATCCTACTTCGCATGTTAAACTTTCATCCCCCAATCTAAAAGGTGATGGAATCTTTCGTGAGGTAAACTCTCCAGTTTCTTGGTCGTCAACTGGAATGTCATTTAGCCAAAACGTTCATATTTGTAGTGCACTACTCATAAGGTTACAGAAAATTCTTCGACAGCCCACAACCGGTCTCGCCCTTTTTGGGGCTCATTAGATAAGCGCAATCAAGCGCGTGAAATTTGAATTCAAGTTAAACATGAGGTTGACTCGGGGAATGCGCCTATCTGATGAGTCCCAAAAAGGGCGAGACCGGTTGTGGGCTGTCGAAGAATTTTCAGCAGCCTTATGAGTAGTGCATTACGATACCTCGGATATCGTATCGACTGAAACATGAGGCGACTTGATGCCGCACATTCAGTTGTTAGAAACATCAAAAAGGGCGAGACCGGTTGTGGGCTGTCGAAGAATTTTCAGCAGCCTTATGAGTAGTGCATTACGATACCTCGGATATCGTATCGACTGAAACATGAGGCGACTTGATGCCGCACATTCAGTTGCTTAGAAACATCATAAACGAGATATCTAGCTGGGTTTTAGGTGATTCTCTCACAAAACCAAATTCGTTTGCAAATGGGCGTATTTCGCTAGGCAAAACGTTCTTTGTGGATGTAATCAGGCATTTACACTCCCCCCGCTCTGGTCGTGTCTGACTTCCAACTCACCCCAGGAACACACCACCGAAACGTCAGATTTTAGCGTCTTATTTTGAGTTTTGAGTTTAAAAGATTCCATACCGTCTATGAAATATAAGAACTCGAGATCCCCAACTTTCACATGATGGGACGCCTGGATCGAGCTATATCCTTCGCCTTTATTACTGCGTATTTTTCACAGGATTTTTTGATCACAGTTTGATCACAATTCAGTTAATGTGTTTGTTAATCTGGTCAGTTAGCTCGCAAGCATTTCACCATCATTCAAAGAGGTATCATCAGTGTGCACAGCTCTTTTTCCCACATGATCCCATTGTGGATGGTTCTGTTCAATGAAATGTCACTATAAATGTGAGCCAGGTTTTGGCCTCAGCATCCTAGGCATTTGTCCAACTCGGTTTTCTACCCTGGGTATGTTCTCGCATGCGCTGTTTCGGCTAAATTGTCCACACAGTAAGTACGTACGCACTCACGACACAGCTAGTTTACTTTTTCTAACCTTCAGAGAGTGTGCTGTTGTGACTGACAAGGACCGGGTAGGCCATTTTATTAGTGAATGTGGCATGAATGTACCATACCACTCCGACCGGCAACCGGGTATGGTAACCTCGTGCGCAGTTTTGAACATCTTATGTTCAAATGTTAAGATAAGTTGGATGTCCGACCAATGGTAACGGAAATCTTTCAAACAACAAGTAGGGTGGTACATTGGTTTGTTCCAAAAAACTTCTTGACATTCGATAGGTTCCTATAAGACAATTAAACTTCCATTCCGAGAATAGCTGGAGATAAACTAGGGGTGTAGTCATCAAAACGAATTTTCGTGAATAGACCAGGCCAATTAGTTGACTTTCCTGAATTCGGGGACAACCAAAGCTGAGTCGAATCTCAGCGGCTACAATTTCAGACAAAAAAGCCAGAATAACTGTCTATGATATGCCACTTAACAGCTTCTCCTGAGGAAATGGAGGCAGTAATAAGCTCGTACATCATAGAATACGGTATCGTACTTGGCGCAAGAGTGCGTAAAGAGCCATTGGTTTCTTTTTACTATCCTGCACAAGCGTCCATGTTAGTACAAAGGTAGATGACTCAAAACCGTAACGCAGCGACACAGTTAATTACAGCGGCGTGCAATGCGAAATTCGGGGTTATGGTGGCACCGTAAATTGCTAGTCAGGCTAGGTGGGCCTTTCAGGTTTGATTTTTGCAATTTACAAACGCGTAACAGATCACTCAATGTACCGGTTTGGAAGAAGTATTATACACAGATGAACACAGATGTGAAGGATTGTGCCATCGAACGACTTGCTAGTAGCCGTCTAGCACCGATTGTTCTGTCACTGTGTAGCACGGGAAGTGATGTTATGACTTGTGAAAAAAAACAACGGCCTAGTTCCACGCGTCCCTGAAGTGTACCACTTGCCTAACTGTGGAACCAAACTTTTGCTTTTTTACATTCATCTGATTGAGTAAGTAGAAAATAAGATTGTAGGAATTTTGCAACTACCACAACAAAATGACTGGACCCAAGTGATACGAAATCCGTAGTGGATTACAGCGAATATGAAAGTGGTGTTGGGTAACAAGACTGGCAATATAGGGCTTCAGCATACATGTGATTGAAGAACACAACCAGGGTTACATACAAGAAACAACCGAAACGAACTGTCCATCGACTTAGTTCAAGTACAAACCTAACAAAGTTTCCTAAATATTCACTTCTCATCACTAACCAGTTCTCGACTGTACGGATGATGCGGGTTATATAATCAAATATGCGGGTGGTTTGGTAGCTAAAAACTCAGGTTGTGCAAATAAAAAAGACAGAAAATCGATAAGGTGCATCACGAATGTCACAGCATCGATAAAACTCGACGAGGATTAGATTTGTCCGATAAAGTCATCTCCCGCAAACATCCGAACAACTGCGAATCACGACAAAGTGTAGTCAAACAATAGGAAACGCAAACACGAGCGGCATCAAACACACAAGAAGAAACTTGTAATGTAAACAAATTAGCAAGTTGGCTGCAACACCGAACACACACAAAGGAATTTACCATACCTACCGAGAAAGATACGATCAAGTTCAATCACAAAACTAGTCAGCACTGTCGGTTTTCTATGAACTTATGATGAGCGGAGCTTCATAAACCACTGGTACAAAGGTTCAGGGAGAGCCGAAATCCGACA